TGCCGGACGCCGAGACCCGAACCAAACTAGTGCTTCCCGAGCGCCAGAAGGTGTCCCATTCGGCCGCCTGTTTCTGTCACCGCAATATCATCGAAATGGGTTTCGTCTGTTCCGTATGTCTCTCCATATTCTGCTCATTCAGTCCCATCTGTTCCACGTGTCACACCATCTTCAAGTTGGGACCCATTCCTCAACATCTCAGCAAATCCAAGAAGAAGACAAAGACTAAATAAACGCTCGTTTTATTGGTTTCAAACTTATGTAAAATAAATGTTTAATTTTTTTAAAATTCACGATTAAATCTCTGAATCAATGTTTGCAAACAAAAAGATATATAAAATTTGTAAAAAACATGTTTTGTGCGAAACAATTAGAATCTGAAGACATGATCGGCGGTTCACAAGTAAGTGCTGCGACTGCTGTGCTCTTTAGGCGCGAAGAATATTCTTCTGGTGAGCGTATGAGTGATACATCCGACCTGTTTCTTGCCGTTGTCGGCCTCCTCTTTGGTCATTGAGGCGCAATTGTAGGCCACCTTCTGGTTGATGATCGTCAGCATCGATAGCAGATCCATATTCTTGTGGTATTGGTTGACGACTTTGGTGAAGAAGTTGATGAACCAGCTGCCCTCAAGCGTGTTGCGCCACGAATACAGACTAATCATCGCAAACACAATAGGGGTTCAAATGTTAAGCAATAGGCGCCACAACTCACGAGTCATACCCGGAAAAGGCGGAGTAAGCGATCAAGAAGTCGGCGTAAGCGGGGATTTTGACTATTTTACAGCCGTTCCCACTGTCGCACACATCGGACGGCACTTTCACATCCACGCCGGCGTCGTATTTGGCTCCTCGACACGCCTTTGCATTCAATTGTCATTCAATTGATTCCCAATAATAGGCAACAAAATAATGAATCCATACTTGAATAATGAATATCTTTGGTTTGGCGGCCAAAGACATGCAGTTATCGCCCGTAAAGAAGCTGAGAATGCTTTCAAACGAATACAACTGATCGTAAGCCCAGAGCGAGTCATTCGTGCCGTGCGTTAGAATACAACACACAAAACAGTCGTTGTCTGAGTGGTCCTCTTTCGACACTATATCACATCAAATGACAAACAAGTGTTAAAATCGAGACAATTATGTGGCCATCAAATGGCCTAAAGTTTCAATACCTGACGACATGTATTGGAAGAGCTGCTGACAGTCCATGTCGTTCTTCATCTTGACATCAAAGCCAATGTTTGTGAAGCACTGGAAGAGATTGTTAGCGTCGGCCGAACTGCCCTTCCGTTGCGGACAGACATCCGTGCGTTTGAAGAACTCGTGATTCAAAATCACACATTTGCCGAAACTCTTGTGCTTCATATCGTAATCGATGGACTCTTCGTGTATATTGAGGACACCGTATTGTGGCGGCGGTTCAGCCGCCGATCCGTTCCCAACACTTCGACAAACAAAGAGACAAAACAACAAACATATAACGATTGGAACCGATGTCTGCGAATGTGTGTCCATTACCGGGAAGTGGTGGCCGATGGCGACGGATGTATCGCGTCGTTGGCGTCTTCACCGCCATTGATGTGCATCTCGTTATCACCGCTTACCTCAGCTTCGGCTCCACTTTGGGCTACATTTCAACCGCAATTCAATTATCACTAAAACAAACAACGAATGCGTGGATCAGACTTACCGGCCATTCAATGGTTGAGCAAATGATCAGTTGATTAGCTGTAGTTGTAATGCAATAGCATTCAAGCGATGAATGCATTGAATGGTCAGTGAATGCAAATGAGATGCAAACCAAACGCCAATTCAATCAACACTTCAAACGTTATAAAGTGTTGTCAAATATTTCATCACTGAATAAACTGAACGATGTTTTGCTTGTACTGAGAGAGCCATACAAATAATCCATTCCATCCAAACATTAGTGCTTACAAATGGCCCCCAATTCACTGCAACACTCCCTACACATAGCGTTGCCATCACTTACACCACACACTCTATGCACACCACATGACCACTGATTGTCACTATATTTGTGGCTATTTTGTTATTCATATGACTTTAATGTGATTCATCAGTCTATGGATATTAATATTCAGGTGGCAATAGAATGCATGCAGTTGTGTGCAAACGACCATGATCATATTGTCATTTGGGTCAATCAGGCTATTTATATCACATAGTATTCACATCCAGGTGTGACTAACACCTCATATATGCAGTGATGTACGCGTTTTGCACATTACTTTCCTGTCATAAATATTTAATGCATTCAATGATCACAATTTATTGCTTTTACACACAAACATGCATAGAGTACAGGGATCTAGCATGATCATGGTCATTCATACCATTCATTTTGACCCTCATGTAATCTTTGCCCGATAGCATGTTTTGGTCAATTTGTTACATTTGTATGATTTGTTTCATTCAATTTCTTATAATTCTTACAAAAACTTAATTTTCAAACAAAAAGTATGCGAAAACTTTATATACCGTTAAATACCGTTACAAATGAAAGGCATTGAAAAGTATTGAATAACTTTTTTTTTACTACAAAAAGTTATAATAAAAGTCTTACGTTTACAATACGTTTAGTTAAAACTGTTATAATTTGAATAAATATTTAATTAATTGCTTTTATAAAGTGTTAACAAATGAAAACTACTATAACATTGAAAACAAAGTTTTTAAAAAATGTAAAATTATTTCGTTTATAGGATTTTTTTGCAACCTTTGAGTCAATACAACAATAATAATGAATTAGTCGTCAAAAATAGTTTTTTCCTTTGATTTGCAGTCTTATTGACAACTCATTTGGAAAACACTTTTTACACGCATTTTATATGCNCCTCAATGTCGGCAAACAGTGGCCGACAATCCGTTTTACAAGAAGTCATTCTGTGATTTGGATGACACGGACTCCGAGTCCGAAGAGTTGAGACGACTGTTCGTTCGCGAAGACACCGAAGCGGACGTCCGAAACAATGTGCCGCTCATTGTCCAGCATTTGAGGGATGAGATCGTCGATTACATCACTCATTACGACCAAATGGTGAGACAATGGCTCGACTCAGACCACGAGGACAGGGATGACGACGACGAAGAGGAGGAATGGTTTTAATGGCTTTAACTTTAGATAAATAGTACTTATTTTGCTAATTATGTGAGAATTAAAATGTGATAAATCTATTTGGCTTTATATCTCATACATTGTAACCCATATTAACGTTATTCAGTCATTACAGTTAAGTTAATCTCATGTTTTATCGTTAACACAAGTGAATGCTTTTATTTATCGGAAATTACATTTAATTTTAAATGGTTTAATACTTTGTTCGCAATTAGTTTGCGTTTACAGTCAATGACTATAATATTTTTGTTGTTATAACTCGTGTTTCATATAATTTAATGATCAAAAAAGTAATGAGAGCTTAAGATATAAAGATTTCCCAAATATTCCTCTCATTATTTGTGAATATATTTTTGTGAAAACTATTGTTTGGTTTGATTTTTTGTATAATTATTTTGAAGTATTCACAGAATATATTTTTGATTAATATTGTTATTTGATCTAATTGTGCATTTCATTACTTATATATTACAAATGCTTTTCATAACAAATTTACATTCATAATAATACATTCACAATTATATTTTGTACTTTTAATTAATAAATGATTTTAAGAATTGAATATATTTTATTTTTATTTATTGCAAGCATTAGAGTGAATAATGTATAAACTTATTGTTATCGATTTAATGCAATCATAATTAACAATATCCATACAATTTAATAGCAATTTCCATACACAACCCCTTCGTCGATATAATGGTTTACTTTTACTTTTTTGCTTAAATTGAAACA